AATTGGCTGTCAGGCCTGCAGAAAAGAAGAGAATGGAAACGATGGCTTATTAAGTATCCTTTGGACTGTATTTTTCCTGTCCTGAAACAAGAGCTGGTCTGTTATCCGTACACTGTTCTATGTAATGTATTTGTTTCTTTTGATATCTGGATTTAAAGCTTGTAATTTGATTGAGGCCGCAATGTTAAGCTTCACTAAACCCAATTCTTGCTTCTGAATAAATATACAGTCAAATCTATGTTTGTGGCAATCTTGGTGTAACAATGCATTTGACGGATTCTTCTTTTCCGAGAGGACAATAACAAAACCGGTTGTGGAATTACGGTGCAACTTAGTTTCTCTCTTAATGAGTTGCAGACAAAAATATTTATTAGAGACATGAAGCTTCATAATGCTGAGTGTTACCATTTTTGTAGCAATGGTGCTAAACAGACATTTATCAGTGGATCAACTTAAACACTCAACAAAAACATGCTTTGGGTTTTCCTCTTTCTCTCCATGAGAAAAATACTGTATTTTACTTCAAGCAATTGCAATACAGTAATGGAAAATCACTTTTAAAGAAAGAAGCATCTGAAGGTTAGGGGGGAAGAGTTCTTTTTTTAAAAATAGAATGCTAAATCCAATTTTGCGTGTTTTGTTGTTTTATGTTTTTCATCACTCCGCACATACTAATTAATTGCACTCATTTGTTCAAATGCTACCCCTAGATATCAAATGCATCCAAAATGTTTCCTGATGAAAGATAAAGGTACAAAAGAAAGCAACGTACAGTAATTGACTGAATGCAAAGGACGACTTTTTTTTTCATGTAATCTTGCTCCTTCCTGAATAGGTTTACGCTATTGTAATTGACAAAGAGGCTTGTTCAGTGAAATATAAGGAAATTTTTCAGTCACGCTATTGAATATGCCATCTAATTACGTTGCTGGGCCCTTCTGTTTGTTTCTAATGTAGAGGATCTATTGGTAAAATGAATGTCATTTTGTGGTCTGTTATGCAGAAAATGTTTAATCCAGTGTTTGATTTACTCTGTTAAATCTTTTTTATTGAATGTGCTTATTCGTCCATGCAGAATTGAGTCTGCTCCTTTTCTGTTACTATGACACTGCAATTAAATAGCTAAAGAGGAGAGGGGGGGAAGACTGTAAGACATTTTTCTAATGGGCCATGCCATGCCTATAAAACTTATTCATACCTGTGTGTTTCCCCTTCCCCTCTCCTCCTTTATGAGACTTTATCCAGTGATGGGGGTACTCCATGCAGGTATTCTGGCAATGCAGAAAAATCAACAAATACTTTGGAGAAGAAACTTAGACATCCATTTGGCCAACTCAGCCGCTTCTGAAAACAGTTTCCAGATCAATGATGGATGACTGCGAGGATGAAATAGGATTGCCTTGACTGTCGTTTTATGAATGAATTGAACAGGAGCTAGGAAAAGCTGCCTACCGGTTGTATGTTCTCTCTGGAGAAAAATTCAAAGAATCATACAGTTGGAAGGGGAAATTTAGAGGTCTTCTCCTCCAACCTTCTGACCCCTTGGGTGCTTTGGAAAGAGGGACCCGCAGACAGTGAAGTCATCGTTCTCGTTGGTTGCATTTGGGTTGTTCCACAAAAACTTATAACCATGTATATTTTTAGGAAATTGTAAGGCTGCAGTTGCTCAGGATAATAAGTGGGAATCTCTATGAAATGGGACAATGGAATCTCCTGTTTTCACAGGCAGGTCAAGGGCCAGCCAGGGAGCCAATGGTCTTCTGAGGATATTCCCTTCCAAGGGCCTCTGATACAGGCTGCAAAGATGTCATGGGGGTGTCACAACATTGTTGTGGAAGAGATGCCAATTACGAAATTGGCATCATTGGCACCATACGATGATGATGCCTGCAATGTCACTTGTACCCTGCCCTGACAGCCCCAAGGGGGCTGGGGTTCATCCTGCATTTGCTTTTCTTTTTCCTCTGGGATTTTCCATCCTGTTGCTGTTGAATGTTCAGTGCTGACGGGGCCTGTTTTAGAAGAGAATTTTCCCCCTAGATTTTATTTAAAAAAAAAATAAAATACTTGATGGATTTCTGGATTTCTCAAGATGCGCAGAAGCGTGGTGAGGCATGTGCTGCTTGATGACCTTCTTTGAGGGTTTCTGCAGGGAGGGGCCACAAGTCAAGAGGCAAGCCACAACCATGTCACTGAAGCCCCCTTTTTTCACATGTGGCCGTGCAGAAACCTCTGCCTTCTTTTCACTAAAAGCCATCGGGGCTGACTGCTAATACTGAATTTATTCTGGGGAAAAAGGGGATTGTGCTTTAAAACCCAAGGCATCTACTGGAAGGAGCAAGAGATGCAAATGTTGAGATATGTGTTGGGACCCCAACCCAAATGCCCCCAACCCACAAGATGCATGCCTTGTGTACTTCCATCTCACTTGGGACACAAATATGAAAGGCTGTGGTTTGAGTCGTGGCATATGGACAGGGTGAAATTCTTCAGGAGTCTATTTCAGGTGGCCCCCAAAGTACCCAATGTGATATTAAGATGGTAGACAGGCCTAACTGAAGTAGCCACAGGGACATGTTCTTGTATGATTTGCCAATGGTTAAAGTTATGGTTTTTTTCAGAAGGTCTAGAATCTTGGCTAATTGCAGACAATTATACATCAACACAGAAAAGGAAACCCCTACAAAGATTACAACCTCTTTGGTTTTCAGAAGAGCCATTCTAATCATGGGCTACAGAGCGCTTCCTGCTCTTAAGCAAATTGCTAGAGCAGGGTTTCTCAACCTCAGCAACTTTAAGTCGTGTGGACTTCAACTCCCAGAATTCCCCAGCCAGCATATACATCATGAAATCTTCTTGCAAATGCATCATTTGGGTGATGACATCATAAAACACATTATATCATTATGCCTATCATTTATATCACGTTCTCCTTACACTGTAATCTGATACTCACAAGTGCGGAAGTTAAATCTGAGATAACTACTTAATCACTTTTTCTTCTTTCCAAGAAAAAGCTCAGTTTTTCCACCTGGTCCATGTCTAGTCACCATCTCATAACCAAGTTCATTATTAACTCGGCATACTGGAAAAGTATCTGGTTTGTATAAGTAGTTTTTCAGCTCTTTCCCCTTTTTCCTCTCTTGTGGATAAGCAGGGACCTTATAACAAGGCACTAATGGAATAATAGTCAGGTTTTTTTCCCTTTGTGGTATCAGATGTTAAGGCTACGATATATCTTCATACTCATTTGGGAAGCCAAGTCTGCAACTTCTATTCCTGGAAAGGCCAATCTTCAGTCCTGAAACCTTCCTGTCTGGAAGAGCCACTGGCTAAAAGGTGAGAATGAATTATTTTATGTCTGGAATTTCTTCTGAATGTCAGATCACCCCTTGGAGAACGTTAAGTACCAAGGAAGGAAAATAGCGCATTGAGAAGAAGAGGATGTCTAGATTTACATATCACATTAAGCTTTGGTTTGCTTTAACCATGATTTCAGACAGAAGCCTAAATGGCTAGCTTTGCACCATCACAGTAAACCATGGGCTCCGTAGCCATAGTTTACGGAATGAATTGGTCTGCTTCACATTCTTCTTCTTCTTCTTCTTCTTCTTCTTCTTCTTCTTCTTCTTCTTCTTCTTCTCCTTCTCCTTCTCCTTCTCCTTCTCCTTCTCCTTCTCCTTCTCCTCCCACAACTTTAGAAACTAGGTCAGAAACAACAGGCGT